GAGCGTGCCCGCTCTGACTGGTTTTAAAGGGTTAATAGATGCTGCACAAACAAATTCTATGTATAGATGTTGTAAAGTCAAAAGCCACTCCAACATTACATTATTACTTCATTGTGCATCTCTAAAGTGCTTATAAAGAGGACAGGAATAAGCTTTGCCTTTTTCGTTCTTTCCATCGGTGCTTCAATTGAAATAACTGGCTTTAGAAACATTAAGTTAAACTGAGTGAATCTCAGCATGCCAAGATGTGTTTGGACTGTGATGACGGTGAAACGGTTCCATAAAAAAAAAAAGCTGATTGGATGCAGCTTACAATCATCTGCGCCTTGAAAAAAGCATGTTTATATCTTTTGAGAAAAACTAGCAGATACAGAAGGGCAATCAGCAATTTTGTTACCATAGAGCTGAGAATGTCAACTGCGAGCAATCAAGACGGGTTCATTTCACCCAAAAAGTCTGCAGTCAGCCTCTGTTCCCAGGTACATACGGCATGCTTCTTTGAGACAATCATCCATACAGATGGTTCCAGGCTTTTCCAAATGGCTTTGACCTCTGTGAAAACCAGCGTGAGTGCCAACTTACCGGATATTGTGCGATTTGCGTTTGATCTCATTCCAGCAGAGGTTCATTTCTCCCGTTTGATTCGGGCCACCCCCTCTCAGTCTCCTACACTCGGTGCCCTCCTCCTGCCCCTCACCGTCCACTGTGGACTGGCATGGCACACAGTGGCATCCCGGCCACGAAGGCCGCCCCGCAGCTAAAAACACACACACAGCAGGACACGCACAGGTGAGTATTACAGTTTGGACAAATTTGAATTGATTGCTGATAGATGGTGTTCTGCTCCTGAGGTAAAAAACAAACAAAAACCTCAACTAATGTTGTGACACAACATTAGTTGAGAAAGAAACAAAAGATAAAAGATTCGGTGCTACAGTGATGGCTTTCCAATGCGTTCAATTCTTTCTTCACAATATTAAACTGATATGTTTTGGTGTCTGACAAGCCTGGATCTGTTTCACAAACATAAAAGCCATATATACAGACACAGCAACCTATAAAACATGTTTTTAAAGCTATAAACCCATTTTTTGACGGTCTTAAAAAATAAAATCTATCGGAATAAAATCACCGAGTTTTGTCACTTTTAAGACAGGACACATTAATTCTTAACATGAAAGTGAATAATGAATCCAAGGCAAAAAAATGTCGACTGTTGAGAGCAGATTTGTCAAACTATCTGCCGAGCAGCAATTGCATGCTAATCAATCACGACCACATAAAATCTAGAACTTGGGGGGTTGGGGGGGCACATCATCGTTAAAAGCAGTAAGGACTATGTAACCATTAATAAACAATATCCCAAAATGTGAAGCACGACACACAAAAAAGCATGGTCAACAAATCGGGGCCATGTGTAATAACCCTGTCCGGTCTGTGACACAGAAAACCTGATTCATGAGACACCAGCAGTTTTATCCCATTATTCCAATCCATTAAACTCCGGAAACAAACGTAGACAAAAAGCCTCTTTTTCACAGACTTTTAGAGTGAGGGGGTATTCAAGGCTAGATATGAAGAGGTGCAATCCTCTTGATGGAGCTAGAGGGAGAAAATATCAAGGAGTTAGTCCACACACACAAGCACACACGGCCTATCATACGGACAAATACGCACACAGAGTAATAAGTGGCATTCGGAGCGGGACAAGCTTTTCCAGGTTCGCAGGTCATGATAAATCTCGTGTTCGGTCACTGGGCTGTCTGAGGCTTCCTGTCTCTTGTGTTCATTTCACAACCTTTACCTTTGCAGCAGCTGGGCATCTGAGCTTACACCCTCAGCCTTTATAACGCGCACAGAAATACACGCTCACACACCATGACCGGCAGCTTCCCCTGTGTTGGTCAGAAGGCTCTTATCAGATTGTTTAGAAACTGGTTGATCATATCTCCCCCACAGGAGAACCCAACCTTTAACACTCACTGGAGCAGTCGGCCATCCATCTAAAGCAGCAAACGGACAAAAATACTGCACTCAGTACTCACACAAATATGCACCTATCAAAATAAGTCTTAAACCACTAAAGGTTCAGTGGTGAACTCAAACAGATTAAGCTATCGCCATGTCTACTTTTGAAACTAGCTGGGACTGTAAAGACTGTAAAAACAACACATAAAAGACTTCAGACGACACACGCTGACCTGCCAGGTCCAATCTTTGGTCTTGTATTCATTTATTTATATTGAGCTTTAGTTCTTGTGTTTGACAAATTTTAAAAAAATAAATTGATCATTTATTGTTATTTTTTAATTATTATTTTTATTTATTATTATTTT